AAACCATTTCAGGTGACTACCTCTTGAAGCTCATGGAGAGAATGCCAAGAGTGTGCAAAGCAGTAATCAGAGCAAAGGGTGGCTATTTTGAAGAAACTAGAATATAAAACATGTTTTCAGTTATTTCACCTTTTTTTGTTAAGTACATAACTCCACATGTGTTCATTCATAGTTTTGATGCCTTCAGTGAGAATCTACAATGTAAATAGTCATGAAAATAAAGAAAACGCATTGAATGAGAAGGTGTGTCCAAACTTTTGGCCTGTACTGTGTATATATATATATATATATATATATCCTCAAAAAGGCAGACATCTCATCTTCAATTAAATGATTCACTTCTTAATTTCTTTGATATTTTTTTTATCAGATATGCAGTGATTGCTGTGCAACATGTACGCTGATGTCCAAAGTCAAGTCTATTTGTGTCAAGACAATACATACATGATGCACCAAGGTCACAAATCTACCCATCTACTTAGTAGTACACCCACCAAGTGAAGTCATGAGTCATTGGTGTTGAGTACAGGTCAAGTAGCAAGTCTTATTTGTTTGTTTTGTCTTAAGTTATCAAATTTGTGAATCAGTGCTTACTTGAGCCCAAGTCATGTGGCTTTAGTCCACACCTCTGTCCATTTTCTTAAGGAAAAAACAAAACAAATAGATAAAAAGTTGGATATGATGAAAATAAATTCACTAATTGCAAGTCAAAATTATAAAAATTGTAAGAAGTCAAATTAATGGCATTGTAAGTCACAATTGAAGAAAAATATGGGCTTGTAATTTTAATTTCTCAGATAAGGCAAAATGAACAAGACTGCCTTCGTGCTCAAAATTCTGTATTACATCTTAATTGTAGAGAAAATGCTCAGCATCATCAGTCACTTCTTATATTAATTCAAAACTTGTCTAACATGCCAGTTTGATTCTTACAAATATGATTTAGTTGTGACCGTTGCAGAGTACTACGCTAACGTGAACATGCAGGACTGAATTAGAGTCTCGGCACAGGGAGGCGTTAGAACCGCCAGTCTGAACCAGAACTAGCTGTACAGAAAGCGAAGGAAGGAAAAAAGCTGGCTGCCTGCTAGCAACAGAGCTTTGGACGTCGGGCTACGGGAAGATAAATAGACAAAACTGGAACGCCAACACGGATTTCTTGTGGGACAAACGTACAGGGCTCGCTGCTAAAACGGTAAATATCGCATACGAGTTGTCCTGTGCCCTAAAGTAAGCCACATTCCGACCCAACGGTTAGTACGGCGGCTAGCGAAAGTATGTTATGCTAGCTGTCGAACGTAGCTAAGCTAAGATGGCGGTCAAAGTATTTACATTAGCTAACATTGCTAGCAGAGCATGCTAACAGCCAGGTCGTCGCTTGTTGGTCAGTTAGTTAGCTGGTTAAGCAGTTTTAAGTTATGTTAGCTGTTGATATATCGGTGTGTGAAAACTGAAAAAATACTGGATGCCCACTGCTTACTGAAATAGCAGCGTTAACGGCAGTAACGGCACTAACGCGTCGTCTTACATGGTAGGAAATAAGCTTTAACATTAGCGACAGCTGCAAAACCGTGTTGTTATCTGGGAACGTTGTTTTGTTATCGTCTAGCTTAGTTAAAGCTTATCTAATAAATGCTAAACGTTATATCAGTCGTGTACTTATAGCATGATTGTTTGTTGTTTACAGTCGCTGGAAGCAACGCTGCATTTACGCTAACCTGCGGTGGGTTCGTAATAGTTAAACAGGATCATGCAACAGGGTTATTAAAATGCAACCCTGCATTTGATCACTCGTCTCTCTTCACATACTTAGAAGCCTGCTTCAACAGTTGTCTTTCTAGCTACAGCTATTTTTGCACAGATTTATAGGCTGCATGTTTCATCGGGTTGCTTTTAAAGTTTAAGTGTTGAACTGTGTGTTTCTGTGGTTGGCTGTATTCAGCTGTAGGCCACCTACACATCCACGTTGTTGTTTTATTTATACTTTTTATACAATGTTTGTTTACTAAGCTGCTGTCCTCAATCAGCCCATTTGATCTGACTTTAAGGAGCCAATTGGGGTTTCTCCAAGGGCAGCTTTATTAAACAGTGAGGGTAACGTTTACATTTTCACATAGACAGAGACAGAGAATGTGTAGGTCAAAAATTCCTGTCTCAGGTTGCTTGTCTCTCACAACTCCCACATCTCAGTTTGAGTTTGGTGGTGGACAGCTGTCCCACTGATAGGAATATTTGACAAGGAGAAAAACTTTTACAGGACTCAATGTAAAAAGGGATCTCCCACTATTGTCTACTGTAGTTTTCAGTTCAACAAGCAATTCATTAACTTTCAAGGGGACTTTATTAAAGTTCTTAATACTGTTTTGTTTGTTCTTCTAATAATCCACTAGATGCCTCACACTAGACGTTACTCATCTTCGGACAGAGACAGTCGAAGCAGCTACCAAGACCGTTACAGAGACAGAGACAGAGGGCGAAGACATCGACACAGAAGATCGCCTTCTTACTCCTCCAGCAGTGACAGAGATAGAGACCGAGACAGAAGAGGACGGGGACACAGACAGGAAGGAAGCTTTGTACGCTCAAGGAGGTATGTTTGTGTGTATGGTGTGGTTTATTTGGTGTGCTGTGTTGCAATTTTACCTATACATTTCAATATGTTCAATCACGAGTACCAACTTTGTAGAGCTTTTTTGAAGGTTTGTTGGTTTCCAATCTTGAGGTTTCAGTGTTTTCCTTTGTCCTCTGATTCAGTCGTAGCTATGACAATCGCTCTACAGAGCACCGGCCATTTGACAGAAGATACTGCGAGGGATACAGACGCTTGGATCAGAGCCGAGATCAAGACCGCGACAGAGAAAGGGAGCCACATGGAGCAGCTGAAAGTTACTATCCACGCGACTTCTCCCCAAATGTATACGATTACCGACGTGGCCGCGAAAGGGATCGGGAACGGGACGAGTCATACCGGCGGAAAGGCAGCAGGCGTAAGCACAAACGAAGGCGGCGTAGAACCAGGTCCTATAGCCCATCTTCCTCGGTGAGTACAGCCAGTCTTGAGATTGTGTTTTAACTCTCCTCATCATCTCTCCTTCCATCTCTGTCCCTTCCACTCAGCTCTCTCTGTCTCTGTCTTTCTCTAACCATTTATTCTCCGCAGCTCCTGGAATTGGTAAGTAGTACAATCTTTATGATTTTGTTTTTGTTCCGTCAGAGGGGATTTTAATTTTTGTTTTAGTGGGTTTTGCTTAAATTAACACTTCTTTTTGGCAGAGCATTTTCATTTTTATGCAAATACTTTTTCAGTAGTTCATCAGTAATCATCCACTAATTCTTAATGCTCTTTAGATACATGCTCATCACAGCTTTCCTAACTTTTACTTTTGAAAGCCTAGTACTTGGTCCAACTATTCTGTGTCTGTGGCCCTACCTTTACATAAAATTTTATTTGGTATGTTGTTGGTTCTTTAGTAAAAGCTTAAATTCTGTGATAACAGTTGGTTGGCCACTTGTGAACTTTAGTGCAGATAGGCTGAAAAAAGTGAAAATGTTCTACCAAACACTTTGTAAGATTAAGATTTAAATACAATGCAGGTTTTTGTTAGAATTTACTGACATTTAAAATGTTTTAGCTTCGTTAAAATGCATTTTTTGTGTGGGTCACTTTTAGCCACACATGTATAAGTAGTATTTATTTAAGGGAGAAAGGGGTTGAAATTTATGTAGCATATATGCTGGGATTATCTTTTAATATTTCCTGTTTGATTACATATGGTCCTCTCATTTTATTTTCGTTTTTGTTTAATCTAAAAAGTCAACCTGATAAGTTTTGTATTAGTTATATTACTGTTTTGAATGGTTTTTGCGTTGATGAATGGATATGCCAGTTGCTTCCTTGTTTGTAAGCAGCTGTGGTTAAAAGGTAGAGGGGGGAGAGGAACAGAGGACAGCATGTAATCTTTGACTTGTTCCCTTGCACTATATCCCTATCGTTATATATTTCCTTCACGTGGTGTCATGCGTGAATCGCCCCATGACCACCAAACCCACCTACAACCACAACTACCACCAACACCACCCTCCTCTTCCCTCCTCGTCTACCTGTGCGGCCTGACGCCATGTCTGCGGCTGCCCCTGAAAACCCCCTGTTCCCTCCGGTCGTGTCGTGACCTGCTGATGGCGGTTTGGGTGTGAAAACAGCGGAGTGACAGCCGGACGCGGGCACTGAGTGTGAGGGACGACGAGGAAGGGCACCTGATCTGTCGGAGTGGGGACGTCCTGCAAGAGAGATGTACTCACTGCCACTACTCTATCGTAACCCTTCTCCATATGAGTATTAAAGCATAGAGCATTTACATGACATGGGAGTGCCTGATGATGATGATGATGATGATGCCTTGCTAGAATGCTCTTCGCTCTAGCTGAAATGGCAGGGTGGATTGCAGGAATGTTGAAGATTTTGAGAGGGACTTTAGATACCTTCTCCTTTTTGTTCTAGGATTTTAAGCTGTGGAGCATTTTCTGTTTCACAGGTTACTTGACTTTCCTAAACGTAGAATCCCATTTGCAGCTGTTTGTCTCTGTTGCCTTTCAGATTAAACCTCAGTTACAGTTCTAAGTCTGTAGCTTAAGATAGCTATTTCCCACTAGTAGGGTTTCAGGGATTTTCTTTTATTTTTTTTAGCAGACATCTGACATGCACATCACTTATTTAGTATTTTCCTAGCACAACCAGAGCACATTTAGACTGTAAATTTATCTTAAAAATATTTGCCATTTTTGGTATCATGCAATGTTTAGTAGAAATACTAATCATTTTTCAGTTTTACACAGTATTCCTGTGTCCTTTTGGGCAAAGACAGCCACATCTCGAAAGGATGTGCCTTTATTTTTGATGGCTGCAAATTGGTCATAAAAAAGGAAGGGAGCATTTTACATTTGCTCCCTTATTTCCTTTAAATGTATTATAGCGCTATGATTTTAATCATCATAGATTACCTCAAAGTGTTTCAAGCCTGCCAGTTTGAATAGGCAGCCATTTGAAAAGGGGATGGGCGCTAGAATTGATACGCCGCCTGTCTACACTTTTGCATTATGTATTCCTGCTTAAGTCCACATGTCTAATGCTCCTGTTCTTTCTTTCCCTGCCCTCCCTCTCTCCTCCTTCTCTCTCTGTGTTGTGTTGCAGATGAGATTGTCAGCACTTTGGGAGAAGGCACCTTTGGGAGGGTGATGCAGTGCATAGACCATCGCAGGTGTGTATCAATTGACACTGGGAAAACAACGGTCGTCAACTGCTTGCTGTGTTTGAGTTACAGGGGAAGAAAGAGTGTTAATCTCATACCTAAGGGGGTAGACTTGAGCCAGATTAGATCAGGATAAGAGTATTTAACATCCTTCTTAACTATTGATTACTAGTGTTTCTTCCCGGGACTGTTTTGAATTTAAAAACCCCTTCATCAGATTGTCCATCGCTTTCTGTTTTTTTTCCTGCTGCCTTTGATAATCTGGTGCAGTGTCTTGCAGGCAAATTAGCTCTGCTGCATCTTAGCCTCATTTGACTATGTGCCTTCTCTCTGATAGGGTCATAATGGAAGATGTGTTGTCTTGTGATAATGCCAGAAATGCACATCTAACAATTTCAAGTTCAAGGTTTTATGGTCAGGGCCTTAGGAAAGAGACGTATGGATTATCTATTCATGTCTGTGACCAACTGAAGCTGCATTAAGAAGATGCTTATTGTAAGAAGGGACTTTCATATTCCCACCATATAACTAATATCAATATCAGAGATTTTGTTGTCATATCCATCTTAGTAAGTGTGTTTTTATCTAAAAGTTAAATCATGACACTTTGGTGTCAGCAATTCAGTCACACCCTTTTCTGGGGCATCTGCTCCCCAAAAGGAGGTTGGCATACAAAGGTAAAGCAGGTTTTGTGTTTTATGTCCTCTGTTTTTGACCTCATACTATCTTATGTCTTACAGGGGAGGAGCCAATGTTGCTCTGAAAATTATCAAAAATGTGGAGAAGTACAAGGAAGCCGCTCGCTTGGAGATAAACGTACTAGAGAAGATCAATGAAAAGGACCCTGATAACAAATTGTGAGTTCTGATTGCTTCAATTAAATGAACTTCTTAACCTTGAGTAACAGTGCCTGAATTAACTCCATTTTCCTTAGTAGAGCTAAGCAATAAACCTAAAATCTATCAGTGCTGACATTTAGTGTCACCAACTCAGTTTTGCTTGTTTGATAAAAGCCTCACCATCCTGGAAGCTTTCAACAGTTACCAAGATATGGTACGCTAGATTAGTCTCTATAGAAGTATTTATTTTAGCTGTTGTACAAGTAAAGTGGCGTTTGTATTTAAATAATCCACTATATAACTCAAACTTCCTGTATCCTGTTTATCTTGCAGCTTGTGTGTACAGATGTATGACTGGTTTGACTACCACGGTCACATGTGTCTCTCCTTTGAGCTGTTAGCTCTCAGTACCTTTGACTTTCTGAAGGAAAACAACTACCTGCCCTACTCAATTGGTCAGGTCAGACACATGGCCTACCAAATCTGTCTCGCAGTGAAGTGTAAGTTTTTTTAATGATGTCCTGTATTTGGGTTTAGTATAAAAGAAACTCATATTAGTCAGTTAAGAATGGGTTTAATGCACCAAATATACTGTATAGCTCAACATATTGTTAACAAGTATCAGCAACCAATTCGGCATGTTCAGTGTAGAGACTCTCCTTACTTAAACTAATTAAGTTGTTGTGCTGTTGTCTCTAAAATAAGTGTTCGCCTAATAATGTGTCTTCATCAGTTGCCACAAATTGAGTGGCTGGACTGACAGCGTTTTGTTGTTGGTAGACAGCCTGTAGCCACATGAGGGCATTATAGTGTCTCTGTTAACTTATTAAGCTTCTGATTAGGAAAACTATGCTGTAATGAAGACTTCCTGGCTACATCTTTTTAGTTGTCCAGTTTACAAACTCAAATGTCAATATCTACATGTATTCTGTGGATTTTTTTACTATTCACATTTTTTTGTCCATGCTCTTTTTATTAATTTCACCCTATCTATATTATGATCATTACTGTTCATTGTTTTATCTCATCTTAAATGAATTAACATCAGCACACTCCATGATTAGAAGATGGATTGTGTAAAGTAACTGCACATTCATTAAGTGTCAAAAGTGAAGACTAAATGACCAATGTACTCATGTTTTGTCTCCGTAGTTCTCCATGACAATAAGTTGACGCACACAGACCTAAAGCCTGAGAACATTCTTTTTGTCAACTCAGACTTCACAATGTCCTTCAATGTAGAGAAGGTAAGATGCAGTAGACTCTTGTGGTAGGCCTGTACCACTTTAATTGTGATAGTGAACATGGTTGATCTCGTGTTGAAATGTTGCCAGTAGATGTTGCTTAGCAGTCTTGTGAATAAATATGTAAAACCCACAGCTGCAGTTTGAAACTGCTCAACTGAAATTTCCATAAAACAGCATGACTTAGAGACACAGTCTGCATAATACTTTGTAGGAAAGTAGATCAAAGCTCAAGAAACACTGTTTTGTGTCTTGCAGAAGCGAGAAGAGCGGACGGTTAAGAGCACGGCAGTACGTGTGGTGGACTTTGGCAGTGCCACTTTTGACCACGAGCACCACAGCACCATTGTGTCCACGCGGCATTACCGTGCCCCTGAGGTCATACTTGGTGAGGATGGCCATACATGTATTGAAAACACTCCTTCTCAGAAAGGATAAAATACATTATTTCAGCCTACCAGAGTTCCAGTTAAACTAAGGTTTCAGAGATTTAACAGGGAAATCAGCTTGGAGATGAACACCTGTGTCTGTTTCAGTCGGCACGTGTCAGTTGTTGTTCCTACATTGCTCTGTCGATCAAATATTTGCGGGCATGTTCTTGTAGAAACAGGCTGCGTTCTACCAGTTGAAACAAGCACAGCTCAGCATTCCTCTGTTGAAATGTATTTTAAAGTGCCTTGTTCTGCAGAAGATAAGGTGATGCATCTCTTCCTCTCAGTCAGTTCATATTAATCTTTAGCTGTTTTCTCATATGACCTCCTCATTGTCTGGACATTGTCAGTTTCCCTTTCACACACGTAGCACACAGCAGATCTTCTGTGCCGGTAGCGTTCTCACCTACTGGGAATACTCTGTTTGGTTTAGGCTAGGGGCATCATGTGGATTACACTGCAGTTGCGTAGCTGGTTCATTATTCAGCCATTGAATATCTCTTGATGATTCAGCGCTGGCTTTACTGACAGAAGTTCCTGAATCTGGTCATCTCTCTAATTATGCCATTATCGTCTGTGTGTAAATGACTTTTCTTCATCCATGGATGTTCGTTTTCTTCCAATCCAAATGATTTGGATATTTGTAGTCTCACATAAAGCACATGTGTAAAAGGGGCTATATATTCACATATTAACAACAGCAACAGTAGTAGGTGTCAAGATCATTTTTGGCCACTTAATGTAAGGATTACAAATTCACACACCAGTTTTAAACTATAAAGTATTGCTCTTTAAGTTCTAACCTTTTCTTTGAAGCACATGGTATTCATGCATAAACTGAATCACCCTATGTGGCGTATAAACTGAGTCATTAGAATAATTTTGTGTGGTGTCAGCAAGCATCAACTCCAGCCTAGAGTAGGTCATTTATTCAATATGTGTTTTCAACCTTCAGAGCTGGGCTGGAGCCATCCGTGTGACGTGTGGAGCATCGGCTGTATCCTCTTTGAGTTCTACCTGGGCTTCACGTTGTTTCAGGTACTATGGCATCCCACTGCAGCAAAGACCTGGGCCTCATTTAAATGAGAATTTTAGGCCAGCCAGGACTGCTGTGTGACTTTTTTGTTTTGATATTGATGAATTGATGATTTGGCTTGTATCTCACCAAACAGTGAAACATAACAGATTAACACATGTCCATGGCATGTGTTAATCTGGTCGGAATTAACCCTTGGTGTCATTTGTGAGCTCTGACTGTGTCTTTGACACTATATGTAGCAGCAGTAGTAGTTTAACCCTGATTATCTTCTGATAAGTCTTTCACCCTCTGTTTCTCCTCCCTGCTGAATCAGTCAGTTTTTTTTTTACTTATATTTCTTTCAGACTCATGACAATAGGGAGCATTTAGCCATGATGGAGAGAATCCTGGGTCCGGTGCCCTCAAGGATGATTCGTAAAACTAGGTGAGAGAACATGCAAACATACTAAAGTGAGAAAGTTCCTGTAACAGACAGGAATGCAACCATTTTATATAGCGAACAACATGCACACACACTCACACTGATCTCTGTAACCTCACAGGAAGCAAAAGTATTTCTATAGAGGTCGTCTGGACTGGGATGAGAGCTCCTCAGCAGGGAAATATGTCAGAGAAAACTGCAAACCTTTGCGGGTAAGAATGTTTGGAAATTGAAAAGCAAGAAATATGATGATTAGCAGGACTAAAAGGTCCTAACAGTGCATTGTTGCATTTTGCAATTCTTTACTTGACAGGCTCAGTAGTCCTCTGACTCTCTTTCTTGTTTCCCTTCCCCTGTCAGCGATACTTGCTGTCGGAGGCAGAAGAGCACCACCAGCTGTTTGACCTCATTGAAAGCATGCTGGAGTATGAGCCCTCCAAGAGGCTAGTGTTGGCAGACTCCCTCAAACACCCTTTCTTTGAGAACGGGGGGACTGGGGAGTCAGGGAGTGGCAAGAACTGGGAAGGTAACCGGGACATCAGCCGGTGACCCAAGAGCCTCCAAAGACTGAATGACAGAGGAAGTCTTTTATATGTGGAGCAGGTGAACTGTTAAATTAAATGGGGCTTCAGATGTTTTCTGTCGTTTGTCATTAACGCATGGACACCTTAACTTCCTGCTCCTCCACCCTGCCTCTCTGGAGTCCACCTCTGCAGCCACAATAGGCATGTTTTTGCAGCAGAGAGACCAAAACAAACCCACAAAAGACTGGAAAAGAGTTGGAAAGAATGAATCTTTTCTGGCCACCACAGCCTCAATAGAGGATGAAAAATCTTAAATGGAAGATTGTACCCAAAGTAGCCCTCTATGCAGCTCCTGTCTTCCTTCCACCTCTGAACTACCTTCCTCCCTTCCGTCCATCCGTCTGTTATTTTCATCAGCATGTAAAGAAAATAATTCACCTTTTTATAAGGTAATGAGCACTACAAAAGACCAGTTACACAACAACTCAGCTACGGAGAAGAAATGTCCTCGGATTCTGAAGTCTAAGGAGAGGGTGAAAAGGAGATAGAGCTGTATATGCAGCGCAAGTCCTCACTCACATAATTCTGAACATGGAGACATGCAAGATATTTTATTATGCTGACATCAAATCATTCAAAGTAAATATCATATTTCTTTGGGAATTACAGATACTCCCAGTAGAGAAAAGCATCTAGGTTTTTGTTTACGTTTTTGTTAAGTGAGCACTTGCATTGCGTATCATTTTCCTTGTTTCTTTTTTTACGTCTGAAAGGATTATCCCTTATATGGAGACTTGTGCCCTTAATCTCGGGTCGACAGGCCTGTTATTATTCGCCAATGAGATGATAATGGTGATGGACACTCCACACACAAACATGGGCCTCTGTGGTCTGTCTTATTGATAGATAAATGTTTGTTATGTTATGCAGTGCTTTCTGGGTGTGAGGATGTGTGTGTGCGTGCATGTGTGTGTCGGGGTGGGTGGTGTGGGTGACACGTTCATATTAATGTTTTGATCAGTGACTTCTTAGTAGCTCAGCGGTAGTCATGGGAACATTTTAAACACAAAAGAACATAAACTGCCTTTTTCCATGTGTGATTTGGTCAGACCGGAAGTCTCTCCATTGAGGTTAAGCACACAGCTCCTGGTGGTAGCCAATGAGCCACACACACCTGTCGCCAGTATTTATTTTTGGGCTCCAATAGGTCATAGTCCCCCGCCCCCCCACCTGTACATGACTTGTGTTTTTTTTTGTATGAAATTAAAGCATATAAAACTGTATATATGTATGATTGTGTAGAATTAAAGTTAAGTCCTCCTTACCAAAGGCTTATGGTGCTCTCAGTATCGGTCTGGGCCTCTGGTAGCTAAAGGGAGGCGTTCTGTCTTTAAATACCAGCACTGTGTCTGAGTCCATCTCTTATCTCTCTAATGCCACTTCCGGATCATGTGCAAGAACATCAGAAGGGTGTTTGACAGGCGGTGGTGAAGGTTAAACATGGTGTCTGTCCATATTGGTCAACTTGGATGGATAACAAGTTGTAGTTTCTCACTACATTGTTTTACTAGAAAGTAGCTTGGACGTGTTAATTTTGTTTCCATAATGTGTCTTTTATTTTGTACTGCTGGAAGGATATTTAAATATTAATTTTAATCGTGAAACTACTTTTGATTTTGTTGGTAAGTCCTCTTGGCAGCCAACATGTACAGGTATCGCATGCTTTCTATTACCATCCATTTCCTGTTAGTTTCTTCGTGTTGTAAACTAATCTCTCTTTGATTTCCTTCCAAAACCTAAACTCAGCTGTCACCCTCTCAAGACAGGAAATGAGGGGAAACTTGGATGATCTGCTGCAACAGGTGTATACGTCTCGTAAGCCTGCCCATCTGTCGGTAACGTACCGTTGCTTTATTGACCTCTCTCACTGTCCCCATTCTCTCTCTCCTCTTTTATCCTGTGTAATGAATGGATTAATGAGCTGGGGGTTCCACAAAAAATAAGACTGGACTGTGAGGCTATAGCCATGGATCAGCAAAGGACCCTGCTACACAACAAGACTCAAGACTAAAAATAACAGACTTGGACCACTTAGTTAAAATTGTGCTTGGACACACAGACATGCCAGGACCCTTTGGGACCCTGGAGGTTTATGGTCATTTGGGTCAGTCCCTCACTCTGGTTGGTTAGTTATTTAATACTAAAATGTCTTATAAATATTAGGCCTTAAAAATCATTTGAATTTGTGAGATCTCAGTCGCCACCAACATTTTATCTAATTTATCATTTTTTACATGTATTTTTGTCAGAATGAATCAAGGTCCTCTGTATGAAAGTGCACATTTCTGATGTTACAAATCTTTAGACCTTCCACTGAGCCTAATACTGTCTTTGAACTTTATACTTGCTCTAAGCTGTTGGCAAAATGTAGCTTAGCCTAACTCACTCTGACAACCGTATACCTACATAAGCCTATGGGACATTAAACATACTACAGACCTGCATTGCTAGAAGAAGAAAATGATGATTTGTTTCAATACATCAGTCTTAAATTCGGTTAAAAATGATCTTGAAAAAGCGTAAAGAAGCATCAAATTTAAGTGTATGATACCTGTAGACACCCTCAAAAGAGAAAATGATTTATGAGCAGATATCATGATACAAGATTGTTTGACTTCACATCTTTGTTGTAAATTAGAAATGTGCAAAGTCAGTAATACAATCCAATTAACAAAAGAAATACGTGGGAAACAATACAGTGAAGAGGAGAAAAGACAACAACAAAAATATTTTAACAATCAAAGCCCAGTGATTTATGTAAGTGAATGGACTGGGAGTTCTCTCTCTCTCTTGACCTGGATTCATCTCTGAGTACACTGAGTGAGTGAATGAATCAATGAATGAAATGAGTCATTCAAGTTTGACTCAGGTTCTTAATGTTTGCAGTCAATGAAGCAGCGTCATGTCTTAGGGGACAAGGTAGGCATCCTCTCTGCGTCACAGAGGCATCACCCCCCACCTTTTAAGTCTCTCCATGCTCCGTCTGGCAGCCTCCCTGACAAACAGTATCACCAACTGACTCATCAGCTGTTACCTAAACATAAACTATGCAGATGTTCTTTTGCTGAAATTAAGAATGTAACTTTTAATTAAAGACTTTAGACATTTGAAGTCCAACCCCAAACTGTAAACACAAGTTTTTTTGAGCTATGTCAGAGGACAAATGTGAATGAAGCAGCTGTTTCCCTGTGCAGGTTTGTTTGGCATTGCTTTGTTGTTAATGAGATAAACTCTTACGTCTTCAGCTAAACCTGTTTGAGGACCAGCAGGATCATCGGTCAAATCCCCATAAGAGCAGACTGGGACAGAGCAGAGGTGTATACATGTGCACACACTAAAGTAGTGGAGGCGATACAACGGATGGACCCTACACTCAACAGCTTTGACAAATGATACCAACAGCTGATTGACACTACTTGCAGGTGAGTCCCATTTTGACTTTAAAGCACATTGTGTTCATCTGCACTGATGCACATGAGCTGCAAGTTGACTTAAGATGCTTTATTGGAAATTTAGGTAGATGATATTCAGGTGGTTTTTCTTTATTGACATTTTAAAAAAAGTGATACAAGCTGTTATTGGTTGGTTTAATTGTTGTTCTTTCTATTTGCAGATAAAAGCCTGAATTCTGGTTCAAAAGTAACGAAGAGCAACAACGCCGACTTGTCCTGGACTTTGAAAGAGTCTTGAAAACGGCACTTGCTACACTGCACAAACGACATCAGCACAAGACAGCTTCTAAAAAATGGATTCCCTAATGTCGCTCGGCGCTCCTCTGAAGCAGTTCACCAGCTGTGTGTCAGGGAAGAAACCCACCGCCAAGAGAGGGGCCAAGGAGAGCCAGCCTGTCCGCAGGAGCAGCTTCAGCCGCAGGAAGAGCGTCAGTAGGAGGAGAAGCCTTCCCTGCAGCAGCCAGAAGGTCCCGGACTCCTGGCTCAGGATGTACCAGGCTGAGCTGAAGAGAGAAAGGTAGAGTTCACACAACACATGCATTCATGAACAAAAATCTGTCATCAGCTCTAAAAATGCATTCTGTTTATTTATAGTGCTATTTTGTCATTCAATTAAGATTCTTTTTGCATATTTGCAGTTGATAAAGAATTGTGTTTGCACCTCTCGGACAGTGTGATAACTCAGTAAATTCAAGTATAGAGTATGTTTTATTCTCCAGCTGGGAGTCTTGGCCAGACCAACTTGGCTTAATGAGGATAAGGCTGCTCCTCACATGAATAAGCTGCTTGCCCATGTGCTGTTCCTAAAGTTACTCTGTGCTGTTTGCCAAAGGAAACGACAGCAAGCCATACTGGCCAAGAAGAACGCAGAGAGGACAGTGAGAAGGACTCACTTCAGAAGCCACCACTGCCTCCCGAGGGTAAGGGAACAACAAAATCAAAAGAAACATTCTTCACATTTGGGCCGAACGTCCATTTGGACCCAACAATGAACTGATTAGAATTTAGTGGTCAAAGGTCAAGGTCACTCTGACCTCACAAAACATGTTTTTTTTGCCATAACTCAGGAATTCATACACTTTTTCATGAAGTTTTCATGGGAAAAAATTCAACTTTTTTCTGAGTTGAGATCATTATCTTGTAGATTTTTGTCTTTCTGAATCATTGAGATTATTTTGTTAATTCTGTAACTCAAGAGCATATTTTTTTCTCAAGTTAGTTCATTATACCATAGTGACTTTTTATTTATTTATTTTACATTTTTTTTAATTAAAAAAAAAAAGACTTTAATGTAATACTTTTTTGACACTATACTATGGTACATACTATGTTATGTCATTTTTACATTCAATACTATGATTTTTTTAAATTCAAATTTTACAACACATTTTTATGACTTACTATACTATGACACCACACAAATCTGACAGTCTTCACCCTCATGTCCACATGCAGCAGACCACCACTGCCAGAAAACCAGCCCCAGTGAAGGACGATTCCTTCTTCGGAGCCTTCCAAGGCCTCAGTCTGGATGAACTGCTGGGAGGCAGCAGTGGATCTCCTGCTGTCTCTGTGTCAGCAGGTGGTGGAGGAGATCAGTGCAAAGTCATGTGAGACCTCACATTTAAGGACAATCAAACTGAAAATATTCTCATGCATGAGAGACTTGAAGGACAAAAGGGCTCATGGTGGAAAGGTGATTTGCAAATGACACTGAGGCTCACACCTTATAACCCAAGAAAAGGCGGAAAGGCACTTATTTGTTATACTGTTTTAATTTGTTTAGATCTTTTTTCTTTTAGAAAAGTTAATATTGCTTATTCATAATTCTTTGATGATTGTGCAGGTTGTACTCTGTATTACTCTTTGTACAGTTTCTGTCTACTTGTTTTTGTGAAATATGACTGTTATAAAATTGAGCAAATCTGACACATTGGTCTTGAATAACTACAATTTTATTGATCCAGCGTTGTCACTCCTGAGCTGCTTTCATTGTGTGGACTTATTTGAAATCCAAAGCAGGAACTTAACAGGTAAAACAATTTTATTCAACATAAATAGAAAATTATGTGCAGCAAACACCAGTCAGGTGTTTTTAATGACAGTATTTTAATGAATACATTAAAGACATGCAGAACTAAGACATTAAATGTAAATCCTGCATTTGTACTGTGGAATATTTTCTGTGAATTGGTGGACGGTCCAGAAATCTGTTCCTGTTCTGCTTGGATCTGAGAGCACATATCAAGGTTGTGTGTGTATGTGGTCAGCATAGTACTGGCATGTAAAGTATCTGTAATACAACCAGATCCCCAATAACAGTAATGCCACATACCTCATCCCTCACATCTAGCTATAGCTACCTATCTAATGTTTCTTCACGTTAGACTCTGCTCTTTAGACCACTGTAATGTAGGCTTGTTTGGACCAAGCTTTATTTAGTTATAAAAACAAAAAGAAAAAAAACAATGACAAACCACATTTTTCTCATCAGTTACAGAACTGTAAGATGCAGCATTTCTCTTTCTTACATGAGGAGAGTATGATCTCTGGGTCCAGATCACAAATATGTACATTAGAAAAACCAAGTACAAAACTATGTTTGTCAGGGTCAGGATGAGGAAGTATCTTGATGACTGTGGAACAACGACTTCAAAGTTGACTGTAGACGAAGAGGTGATAACACACAGAACTGTTTTTTAACAACAGTGGGTTTATTCTAACAAAGTCCAGCTTTACAACATCATTCCCTCTGTTCCATCTTGACTTTCGGGGGCTTGAGGAAGGACCTGTTCTTTTTCTCCTTGCTCTTCTTGCCTTTGGCCTGGAAGGTCCTCCAACTGTCCACACGCCCATCTCTTGTTTCCTGACAGATGTGGTACAAAAAAAATGATTATTTAAGAAATGCCAAAAGAAATCACGTGTCCATTTAAAAGTACATCAAGTAACCACGGTCATGGAGGAACACACCTCAAAGTTTTTCTGCCATTCTCTCTCCCGCTTTGCTTTCTCTGCTGCCTCGATTTCTTCCTCTCTTGCCCTTTTCCTGGTAAATTGAGGAATTAAGAATTTAATGGAATTCTGAATGAATGTTTTACATTTCAAAAGTGAAATCAGTTACATTAGAATCAACATAATTTAGGCACTGAAAGAGGTGAAGGCAGGTTACCATTTTTTTTTACACTTTACAGTATAAAATACAAGTTGTAAAGATAATGTGCAGCAGTACCTTTCATGCATGTCCTTAGCTTCCCTTTCCTTCCTCTTGATTTCAAGCTCTGCGAACAGCTTCATGGTCTGTTTGTACACAGCTTGCTTAAACTGGAAAAGCACAAGGTAAGGTTTGTATTAACCCATATTTAGTAATGGACATGAACGTGACAAATGAAAATATTTTGTAAATAAAACGTCACAAAAATGTCATCTAAAAAATAACAGTATGTAATAAAAAGGTCATTAAACATTCAAACATTCATAGTTCTTCATAAAAATACCACTAAAAATCTATCATTAAAATAATGCCATCGTATTATATGTTTTAAAAATGTCCTTAAAAAGTCATAGCATACCAAAATGTCTGATAAAAACGTTATTTTTATAATGTTTTGACAGCTATAACCACTTGCATGTCTGTTAACACAATAATAATGACTAACAGATCTTTTTCATCACTGTCCCTTTAACTTTGACGTACCACTTCAGGGTCATCTTCCTCCACATATAACGGCTTTCCATCCTTCTTCAGCTGTTTCCTTTTCTCCTTTACCTGTTGGGAGCAAAGAGTGGACAGTCAACCACCAGAACAGCTGGGTTACTTTGAGGGAAAATGACTTGAATATTTGAATGGTAATTGAATGTGTTGAACACTCACGATATGCTCCACATATTCCTGTCCTGCATGGATCACATCTAAGGCTCTCTTCCTCTGCTCTGGCTCCAGCAGGAGTTTGTACGCCTTGTCCACAGCTAGAACAATGAGATGTTCGAGAGAAATTAAACTGATGTGTTTCTTTTCCATCTACTGACAGCATGCACAAAGGCAGAAGCTGAATGTACTATTAACTGTACTAACACCACAGAAAGCCACTAACGAGTTCATCTGTTTAACAGCAGCCAATGTATATTTGCAACATACACCTAATCAGAGATGGAAGGAATTTACCTTCAAAGGCTTTCTGTGCTCTGTCTGGATCATCCTGATTTTTGTCTGGATGGACCAAAATGGACAACTGCGCAGTTAAAAAGACCAAATATTAGGTATTAAAAAGCAAAAACATGATGGCAGTATCACTCTGTCCACAGGTATGTCATATTCTCAGAGAGAAGACACCTGAATTAGTTTTTTTTGTTTTTGGCTTACCGCCCGAAATCTTTTCTTCAATTCATCATCAGTTGCCTCCGGATCAATTTGCAGCACCTGAAAATGATATGAACATTGTTTTGTTTATTTTACATAGTGTCTCCATTTTTCTCTGATTCTGTTTTTGGGGAAATACAGAGTTGCAATATTATGTAAAAGAAAATGCTAGTGGTTAAGTCAGGGATTTGATTTCACATTCGGATTTCATGTAAGGCAAGGCAATATATTGATATTGTATCGATGTTGTGATATAAGACTGCCTAGGATTTTGGTATGGTAAGTGTTGTCCTCTCCTGGTTTTGAAAGCTGCATAACAGTAAAGCGATGTGAGTATTTGAATTTACCAGACTTTTCTAGCTGGTCTATTATTCGCCTTTACCCATAAGTCTGTAAATATGATGAGTTCTCGCTATCAACTCAAGGACAGGGAGACTCCCTGCCTCTTACATGAGCTACATGGCTAGCAATTGCACATTCACAAGTCCAATAGAAGGCCGTGGTGTGGACCCTTGGTGCTTTCTGTGGGTCTTCAGGTGAGCACCCCCTTCACCGGTGTTTCACCAATTTAAGCTCACAACACCTCCGGAGGGCTTGACAGCACGCTCCAGCGTCCTGGGGCAGCCCCCATGGCCCCTCGGGCTCCACAACCACGATGCTCTATGATGTCTCCTCTCTACTGAGTGGGTTAATCCGGCGCTAGTTGCCCCTCAGCCGCTAAGTCATTATATCCATGTTACTGATGATTATTTATAAAAAATAACACTGTAATAATTTGTGAAAGCACCAATAGTGAATCTGGCAATATCAATAGTGCAGTTGGTCCAAAAATCACCTGATGTTTGGCACTCAACAATATTTTAGGCATTTTTTTTAATTAAAAATAATTAATACAAACATGAATAATGAAAGCACTGAATTGATGGCATGCTTACCTCAAAGGGATTGAGGTTGAAGTAGGACGAGCCAGGTCTGAGCAGTCTGTCAATCTGCTGCTTGGAAGTTAACACAGAGTCTCTCTTTTCAATCTGCTTCACCTGTCAAAAAGAAATTATGACCATGAAAACCTTCATGATACAACCAGAAGTTAAACTGCAATGTCTGTCTGAAAACTAATATACAAAATGATGTTTTTCTTTTCTTTTATACATTATGTAAGAACAGTGACATGTTTATAACCTGGAAATCCAGATGCCCCACCCCTAGCAAGAGTCTGGATTTCCAGGCTAACATGTTTAACTATCGGGGAAACATATGGGCCAGTCTCAGGCACTGAATTATCTTTATGGGTAGACTGATTTAAATGGTTAAAATATGTTTTGATGGGACCAACTTTCATCATAATTCTACCTAACAGGGTGGAAAATCAAGAAACATGGAAAAAGACACGTGATAGCCTATATGCTCACCCTACTTTACTATTTTGTGTTCCCTTCAAACGATGTCACCTCCTAACACGATCTCAATGGAATTGAAGTCTATTTGGAAGGTGAGAAACTAGGAAGGGTGGAAAATGACTTGAGGGTCACACAACAAATTATGAAAATGGTACATTATCTGAGCAAGATATTGATAGTTATCATCTTAAGATTTTGGATATGTTGTTGTTTTCTTTGTTTTTAAAGAATGCATTACAGTAATGTGATGAAATTTTCTGATCTTACCAGGCTGACCTAGCTGTTGTATTATTGTCCTTTACCCACATTACTGATGTTTATCTATCAGCAATATCATTGTGTAAATATTTCAAGAAAGCACCAATAATCAACCCTGCAATACTACAATGCAATATATTTAGTATATGTTTATGAATTAGCACGTATGTACCAAAAAAGTACAGAAAAATAACAAATATTCTTGTATTTGTGTAAACAAAAGACTAATGTATAATTTAAACCATCTGTTACAGTTATTTGACACATTATAAAGAAAATATGAGGGAGTATTGAAGGAGGACAGAGAAGCTGCTACATAACGTTAACAGGAATGACCTGCTATGATATGATGTGACTGGTTAAAACGCAGTTACACTGCACTGTGATTAAAGCTGCTAAATAGAAAGCTAACAGCACCTGCACTGACGGTAAATACTGTTTATCCTATTGTGATTCAGACTGCGTTGACTTGTGATAGTTGAGAAAGGGAAACTAAAAACAGAAACGATCTTTGATGGTGTCCTGATAACACCAGAGACGAAGCTGTTAACAGAACATCTCAGTATGTTAGCTTCTCATCGCTAGCCGATGCTCATGTCCGCGAGGCCTCGTAGGTGATAAACACAACCGTTGGTTAAACGGCTTCAGCCGATGTGCGGAGAGCTACCGACACTTTCAGAATACACACAGTCACATGAGTTTAATCCTACCTCCGTGTAAAAGTTCTGAAATAATTCATCTGACACATTTTCAGTGGAAGGCTCTCCTCCGGCGGCCGCCATCTTCCCCCTGGTTTACATGTGACGTAGTAGCATCACGTGACTATGCAGTCCATTTAATCCAAACTCTTGTAGCGCGTGCTCTACATACAACAACGGCACATCTTTACGAAAAGAATAAATAACTAGAAATAAACTGATTTGGTAACTAGAAATATGAAAATAAATTATATCGCTGCTAGAATATAGAAACTTATCTGTACCAAAGACGGAAAATATAAAGTATAGCTTTTTTTTTAAATCATTAAAAAGCGTGTTTTTTTGACGTTTTTAAAACATTTAAAAAGATAACTGTTTTATCATGCACTATAAAACTATACTTGTTATATTATTGTTACATTTTATAGAGCGCATCGATTTGCGATGTAACGAAGTCATCCCGACAAGTTCGCGTAGAGTTTACATTTTTCATTTAGAGACCAACCAACAGAGCTTTGCACTGGGTTTCTTTGGCATGACATAACAATAACAAGCAGCAGCTAGCAGCCCCATGTCATATCCAGGAACTACATTTCCTATAAGGCTCCGTGCATGCATCCTTTATTAGGATCTCCCCTTGGATCCCATGACGTGTCGCTCACAGGATGCTCAGCTGCTCAAACACTGAATTTAACACCGGTGGCCTTAATTTTAACCTGAATTTTAAGGCTTGAAATTTCCGCCAACATCCTTGAAACACCTGTATCCACCACGATTATGCAGGAATGGGTAAGCACAGTAAACAGGATTAGCACAGGTAGACCAAAATCAGGTTACACTGGTCCATTCATTATGTTTACATGTCCACCCCCTATTTCCATCCTCTGAGTGATGAAGTTTGCAATAACAAACATGTTAATCCTTTACTGAAGGAACCATACTTATCATAATGAGCTCAGTGATGCTGCACACAATTCACCATGACTGTCATTTATAAGAGCCAAGGTAAAGTTGGCACATGCTGCAATGTTTGTAAACAAAAACTTCACTAGATCCATGTTAATATAAAAAATAAAATAAATATGCATACACAAACACACATGTGATTGGGTAATAAAATGTATTGAACAAACAAGAGCAACACATCCTTCACCTTTGCATGACTAATAATTTAAGCTGGCTAAGGAAGCAGCAGTCTGCTGGATGGAGCTCTGGATCATGACATGTCCATCAACTGTATCCTCCTACGCTTCTGCAGTGAGTAAAAAAAACATGAACCATTAGAATAGACATTTCTCATGTTGGTCCAGGCAATAAAAATACTACTCTCATACAAGAATGAGATTTCACAGTATCTGTGTATTAAACAATTGTTATTATCGGTTACAATGACCATTTAAGGAATGAAAAAGTTTTTTATTGTAAATAAATGCTTCATTATAATTGAAACTTAATTTTTAAATGGACAAAGCTACAAACCTAAACACTGCAAACTCAGACTTTCTCCAGTACATGAGTAGCTGCACCAATCTGCAATTACTTCTCACCTGTGCCTTCTGCTGAGCTGGGAACAGGGCAGCTAGCTAGTGTTCCCATGCGTACTGGACCTTGAGTGTACGGACCAGTGACTATTTCATGCCGAGGGATGTGAAGCCCTGTGATGAGTGGCAGCAGCTGGTGGAGAACAGTCCCCTGACTGAGAGCTAGAAAAAAGCAACACAGATGCATGTTAACAAATCTCGGTTAATGAGCTCCTTAAAATCGACACACTGACATATGATGCAGTGTATCTAAAACTGACCCAAAAAAGGTGTATGCCAGATTTGTGACTTGATGCAGAGTTAATATTCTGAAAACCAACTTACAGAATTTACTGGCTCTGGTAAGCAAAGAGTTCATAAAAAGAAACTAGCACATCAAGCACATTCTACAATATAATTAAGAAGTAGGAGCATATTGAGACTTTGTGAGCATTAGTGCAGATGATGAACAACCTTACCAATCAGTCCCTTCCATTTGTGTGAACTCATTCACATGGATGGGGGCAGCTCCTTTACTGCCTGGTGACAAGAGGCAACATATAAAGACACAGTTCTGATATGAGAGACTGTAAAGGACACTCCAGCATTTCATGGCACTTCAATACAAACCAAAACATGTGTCAACTGATGCAACTGGCCTTGTACTGCAATGCTATGCTCCATGTTTCAGTCTTACCTGTGCACTATAAATACTGGAGCCCATCTACTGCCATCTTGTGGCCTTATAGGGTGCAGACATCTGTTTTGAGGCACAGCCATTGTTCCTACATCAGCCAATTTGATCAGTATTTCATTTAGTATCCTCTCTGCTATTTTGATTAATTTGAACAACAGCTCCTACAGTTAATATCTATGTATTAATTAACACCTTTCTGGCTCAGGAAACGGTCAATAAATATAGTGTCGGATAAAGGAACAATGGACCAATAGTGGTGCTGGTGTAGAACTGCTACCTCTACTGGTGTAGGAGTGGAAATGTCCACCACCACCCTCCATTCACAGAGTGTGCGTGCAGACAGCTGAGCTGCTTTTGGTGCAGTGAGCCAAGACTTGCAACAGGTGCTTGCAGGGTTTATAGCGCTTACCAAATCCTTGACTGTCAGCCTTCTGGCTGTTTAATCCAGACTAAAGAAACAGCCATTTGGCTCTTAAAATTGTGCGTGACTTCTCATTTGGCTCATAAGGGGAAAATATGTCTGTGGAGGAAATCCTCGCTGCTCATGTGTTCTCTAAACCCAAGAAACATACTGGTAACACAATTTTAATATTTCCAATGATTCTTCAGTCAGCTTTAGTGACTTGTGTTCTTCATAACCTAGGAAAAAAATCACACTCCTATTGAATTTAAAAAAAAAAGCTTGATTCGTAGTATATTAGTAAGGAAACAATAAAAAGAAAGTATAATTATGGGTAGTGTTTCTCCAGTGATTACAATTAGCTACAGGAGAGGAGACAGTACTCTGTGCAAGGCTAGCTCACCCTTGAGTACCGTTCAGGTGAGTTCCTCATTCTAGTGGTGCCGCTCTCAATGCTTCTCCACCTAGGCAGGTTGGAATAAGAGGACAGACACATGAAACAAGATACAATGATACCATGGTACCAAAAGGCAGATGCTAAATAATCACTTTTCTATGGTATGCAAATTCTGACAGGTGGTCTCTTGCTATGGCAGAAGGCACATTAAGAATTTTAACCCTTTGGATGGTCAGATCCTTGGAGTCTTCAAATAGGAGAGCACAAGATGGTTGAGATGATTTGCAGATTTTTGGAAATGAATTGGAGACAACTCAGCATACATGTACAAATCCATTCAAAGTCAAATGTGTTGACTTACTGCTGTAAGGGTGTCAGTATCAGGACCATACCAGTGCAAGTGACATTTTAGCATCATTCAAGATTGTCCTCGTCTGTAAAGTTTATGTTAACAGATATACACAGTATATGCTTTAGTAAATGTCAGCCGGCCATTTGTATTAAGAAAGGTGAAAAACTCAGCACAGGAACTCTAAACCTGTGAAAATAATGTGTTTTCTACTACGCTACTATACTACATCCCATAATTTTCACAAAATCATCACATTTCTATGCTTTTGCACAAGAAATATATATTTTGAAATGTATCCAAAAATGTTATTCTGGCTATCTGAAGAGGTAGAAATAGAGACAAGAAACATGAGGCACAGTTTAAAGTGAAAGACTGTGCTAATAATTTTTTTTTTAGGTCTGACCAGGATGCTTCAAAGCTTCAGCTGTTGCTAAGGTAATCGACATCCAAATAAGTATTTGCTTTGTTTTTTCACCTATAAACTGGTGAAGTAAACTGAAAGGAGGTGGCAAACGTCAGACACGATGAGGCCAGTTGGTTACAGATGGTTATCCATGGCTGGCAACTGTAGTGAAGCATTTGCTTTGCATCTGATGTGGCCCGACCTATTGCGTTTTAGTTACAGCGCATTAACCATCCACAATTTTCACAAAAATAAATTACCTATGTAAAGAGTTGGCTGAAGTTTACTGAAGCATACACTGTTTACCTGTGCACACAACTTTTGAAAGACAAGTACAATCTTGAGTAATGGCAAAAAGTCAAATTAAAGTTTGGTACTTCAGTAGTTGTTGGTACTGTCATATTCACAATATGAATTCTGAGTGCAGGGAATGACTGTAGTCTGATGTAACATGCACTGAAAAATAAAGGGTTAAAATCCTGTTATCATCCAAACACCTTTCAAATTCTCTCTTACACAATTTCAGTCTTTTGAAATTATCCTTTGAGGCGAAAAATTTGAAGATCTTCATCCAAATAAGAGAATTGAGGTAGAAATCAAATCAAATACTAAATGACAACACTGAATTTGAGTATCTGACAATTGACTGATGCTCAGCTGAGTTTTATTGAAACGGAACAAACGTAAAAGTTATAAATACAAAGAACATCAGAACAAACTGCTATGGCTCTTAAGGTAAGCCAAACCAAATTCTATTGGGCAAGTTCAAAGAAAACATAGGAAGTTATGGTATCAGTTTAAAAAAAACACAATTTGTCTACCTCTAGAAATGCTAGGCATACACTTTGACATTACAAAACTTTGATTTCTTCCTTCCTGTGGATTCTTTTCTCCACCATTGCAAAAAATGAAGTATGAAGCTCTAACCATATGCATTTATTTACAAGCAAGTCCCTAAGCAACTATGAGAAACCACAAATAAAGGGAGTACAAGAAGGGGAAGGAGGAAAGGGGCATGGACAAAAACTTCCTGCAAGGCAATGTCATTATTTAATGTCCTCTCAAACTTTTGAGAATGAACGTCCACTTTTTTTTTTTCTTTTTTGTAAATGTTCATTGTTGGCTTAAAAAGAATCAGGAACAAAACGTAACAATAAAAGTGTTTTGTGTGTTTTTTTTATAGACACATGTCCCAATGTAACCGTAGGAGTAAGAAATGATTCACCACAACGGTTACGTTCACTTCTTCAGCCAAAAGGCTTTCCAGCCAATCATCTTGAGCCAATTCTGGGGTCTGTCCATTTTTTTCTGAGATATATACAGATTTTTTTTTTTCATGAGG